CTTTTTACTTATTTGTCCGTTGTAGAAAATATTATATCTGTCAATCGAAAACAGTTATATGTGTATGTATATTCTTCTATATCATAGAAAAAACAAATAAATACACAGAAATTCTACCTTTTCTCTGTCTGTGTTTCCGTTAACGTACCGGATATTAGATACTATTGAGTCCAAACATTTTTTGCCGGGGTAGTTTAGACACAGTGTATGTGGTCTCTCAATTCTAGTAATGTGTAAATAAAATTTCATTTATTTTTTCCCCTTTATCGGTTTTACCATATTTTTATTATATTTTTGAAAATAGCATCATATAAACTACATGCTTGGCAAAGTATGAACAAATTCTATCGTTTTTTTATAATCGTGACCAAGCACACGGAAACGAAAGGTTGGGAAGGAAACAAAATGTATGAATATATTAAAAACGAAATATAAAAGAAAAAAGAGTTAACCGGTGTCCCGCCTGGTTCTAAATTTGGTTCCTGTTGTGCAATCTTACGTTATTTAGACATTATCCTCTAAGTAACTTCGTATTTCTTTTTCTAAAAATAGAATAAAGGAAATTTTTAATGACCTTGGGATATTCCAATCTTTTCATTGTTATAACTCATACAGATTTATCCAATAAAACTGTTTGAAATGTATGTAATAAATTATGAACAGTGACAAAGTACTAAAGTGCCTAACGATCATATAGGAAAGTATAAGTTTGAAAAATAAGAGTAGAAATTCCAGTCAAAATGTATTCTTATAATATCGAAGAAAATAAACTTAATGAAATACATTCTGGTGAAGAGTAAGTTTGTGAAGAAAAATAACTTATCAAAATTCAATAGTGAGGTTTGATGATAAGATTCGTCACAGTCATAAATCTTAACAGGTAATTTTAACAAAGTACTTTACTATAATAACAAAATGTTAACAACTTTTGGATTTATTAGCGGTATTTTTAGAAGATTAATCAATCATAATTATAAAAAACGAAATATACACAGGAGATTTTTACGGTGTGTCCAAGTACTGGACAATTTTGGCAATACTGGGGTGGTGTGTGTGTGTTTGTGTGTGGTAGGGGTATTTTGGTAGGGGAATGGGTAGAATAAAACTTGGAGAGAGAAAATACCAAGCGTGCAATCAAAAATCATAAGTCCAATCAAAACAGACAAAACAATGGTCAGAGAGATAAACGTCGAAAAGACAAAGATATTGTAACAAAACACTACAAAGAGAAATAATTGAGCATAACGAACCCTACCAAAAACTGTAAAGATATTTATATTGCAACTATTTGTGTTTATTTCCTAAATATAGTAACACAGCTATATTTTGTGCTATGTCAATTTCATCACGGATCATTTTTTCCACAATCAAGGGTTCATTAAGGGATGAAAATAAGTTTGAAATTTGTGTTACAATTTAAATAGCTAACAATGTATTTTTTTAAGTTGCAGTATAAAAACAATATTAGGTCAATGTCAGAAAAATATAAACGTTTTTGTATTCGGCACAAAACTGGGGAAGTGCTCAGTAAAACCTCGCCCTTCCCCAGTTTCTCAGCCCCATACAAAAAAGTTTATATTTTTCTGACATTGACCTAATGTGTATATGTAGACAATAACTGTTTAGTGTCTTTATATACCAGCTGTATTTGAACGAGGCTAAGAAACAGGTGTAATGCGAGCTTCAGCGAGCTATTACTCCTGTTTAGAGCCGAGTACAAATACAGCTGTTATTTAAAGTCACTAAACAGTTATTGTCTTTATCTTGCAATTAATTTTGTACGTTTTGTTTTCAATCCCAATCGTTGAATTTGTTTTTGAAAGAAATCGACATGACTTAAACGCGGACCGCAATGAGGACCCCAAATTGAACTGTGACGTATACAGTAATTTGACATAACCGTTCGCTCGCAACAGAAGCAAGATACCAGGAGACTATATACGTCTAGTATACGTATATCGTTTCTTGTTATCTGTACACCTGTATTAGTATACTAGTAGTAGAAAGGTCAACTGCAGGATAAATGATTAGTGATGAGTTATGTCAGGTGAATATGCAACTTACAATAGCGGATTAATAACTGCGTCTTAAATGACCTTAAGCCATTACTAAAAACAAAAACCATCGGTACGTGTAAATTTTCTAACCTTAAAACTCGACCGTTTTTTTTCTCGTTTAGTATGAATTAAAGAATAAACGTAAATAGATTATTAGACTTAACTAAACAAAATACCAGAAGTGTCAAGTTTATGAATTTTCATTCAAATAAAATTATGTAGATGTTATAAGGTTTCTAAATGCACCACAATGATTTTCTTCTTTGCTTTTAAAATTGATAAATGGAAATGGTTGGCACTAATATAAACGGAAAGTTTAAATGTCTTTCAGAAATTTTTTTTTTCTCTGCTTTTTAATTAGATTGATTGATTATTTTTTGGTTGCTTAACATTCAGTGGCAAATATTTCATGCATGTTCAGGACGAGAACAAATTAAAAATAAATACAATTGGTAGGTCCTGTAATAGCGGCCATCCGGGGTGAAGGTCGTGGAAGTTTAGACTGCCACTAGAAAACGATTGTATATAAGATAGGGACAGAAATTTTGCCATACAAAAGGCCACCTATACGGACCACTCAAAGAGTTGTAGCAAGGGTTCTTAACGTGCAAAGAGTGTGGCACTCTCTTTACACGAGGCATCGGATTTAACGTCTTCATTCTGACCGGACGTGGCAGCAAACTTGTACATTCAGCACAGAAGATCTAAGTGACCACATTTTTATTCCCCAGTAACCATTGGAGGTCTTTCAAATTAGAGAAAATGGTTATAATATATAATACATTTCAAAAGTTTTAGGTGTAGAAAAACCTTATGTTTTAAGACAATATATGGTTGTTCTCTTTATTCTGCAACTCTTTAAACCGTTGCAATGAAACTTTTTTTGAAAAAATTCCGCGAACCGCTATTAGACGCCATAGGTAAATCTCAAAGTCACAAACAAGGCTTTATATGATCAATGACTGTACAAAAAAAAGTTTAAGCCGTCAAAGCATTTTACTAGCGCAGATAGGACAGTTGCAAGACAGGACAAGCTTTGGAGATGTAATATTTGTTAAGTACACATATGATGTTTTAACCTCTGGTAAACTGGTTTCCCAAGTTTGAGTTATTATATTATTAACATCACAAACAATAATGTGGTCAATGTTATTAAGTTGCAGTATAAATATTTATATCTACTTTTTACAAAATACTTATCCAGTCAACATTATATATTTGACAAAGAATGAACAAATATTATCGTTTTAGATTAGAGACCCCGAATATACCTTAACCGTGATCAAGCACGCGGAAACAAAAGGTTGCGAAGGAAAGAAAATGTATAGGTATATTAAAATCGAAATATAAGAGAAAAAAGAATTAACCGGTGTCCCCCCTGGTTTTAAATTTGGTTCTTGTTGTGCAATCTTACTTATTTTTTTTTAAAAAGTTTTTGGAGCACATATTTGTTAAACGTTGTTTGTTTCATCTCCCTTTTTTTTGTCGTGTCGTTGTTTGTTTTTCTGCGTCTTATAGCTAGACATTATCCTCTAAGTAACTTCGTTTTTCTTTTTTCTAAAAATAGAATGAATGAAATTTTAATGACCATTGGGATATACATGTATATTAATAAAAAAACATGAGAGTGAAATTTGAAAGAAAAAAAATTATCCAACACGTCTTAGAAGATCTTCTTTTTAGAGTAATGTCGAACGACGTGAATGTTTATACGGTTGAATTTATCAAATGTGGAATATTTTGAAAGTTATTCGGACATTATAATCAATATTTTTGTGAACTTATGAGGTCTAATTGTAAATTAATTTTAAAATTTCTACTCAATATAGAAATGGTAGCATACGCTATAAATTTATTACTTTGGGATACCACACGGCATATTTTGTTAATAATGAACAAAAAGGTAAAACATGCTACATAGAGGAACAAGTGATCAGCATGCTGGAGTTTCTTATTGACAACACATTTGTTGAATTTGTAGGGAGACTTTATTAACAAATTGTCGGCATTCCTATGGGAACGAACTGTACCACTCTCCTTGCCGACCTCTTCTTATTTTCATACGAGTCGGAGTTCCTTCATACACTTGTCAAAAACAAGAAGATAAAAAAGCCAGATCATTTAATTTCACATTCAGATATATTGATGATGTTCTTTGCATTAAAAATCCAAACTTTTCTGATTGGGTTCCATTAATATATCCTCCAGAACTAGAAATTAAAGAAACAACAGACACGACTTCCTCCACGTCATTTTTAGACTTATACCTCGAATTTGACATAAGCGGTCGTCTCAGTACCAGAATCTATGACAAACGAGACGATTTTAATTTTGAAATTATCAATTTTTGGTAATATCCTTTTGGCATGGCTCGGTACTTATACATCCCGCCATTGTGTTATTTTGCTATGGTCATTTTTTGTATTCCTGTCTTTCATCTTTGCTTATGTGCTTTGTCAATATGTTATTTTGTTTTTCTTTGTTAACATATTTGTTTGTTTTATAGTGATTAGGATTATAACACAATGTTGACTGTTGTACCCCTATTTTTGACATTTGTTTTCCATTCGTTTGATGTGTTTGAGCTTTTGATTTTGCCATTTGATAAGGGACTTTCCGTTTTGAATTTTCCTTGGAGTTCGGTATTTTTGTTATTTTATTTTTCACCTTTGTACAATAAAAATGTTTATCATGTACACAATTTAATATCTTTCCTTTAAATATCACGCCAAAGGGCATTCGATTGAAACGAAATACTTAAAACATTTATTGAAATTTGAACTTCAAACTCAAATTTGAACTTTTAAAGATATGCTCATCAACTAGCAATATTAATAACCTTCCTCAAGTTTAAAAATAAAATAAAAAGGAGGATTGACAAATTAATTCAACCATAGGATTTTAAACACTTGGAATCGAAATCATTATTTTAGTTTATTTTAGATGTAAAAATGAAGAAGACAATAAACCTGTTCGTTCTGTCAATCATCATAACAGTAGCAAATGGGAATCTAGCATCGTCATGTACGTACAAGAGAAATAGAAACCATAGGCTAATTGCTCATTGTGAAAACCAAGGATTTACATCTGTGCCAAGGAATCTCAGACGTGATATCTACGAGTTAATTCTTTCAAATAACTCAATACACATGCTGAAAAACAATTCATTTATAAATTATTCGAAAATGGAAAGACTTATTTTAACCAGAAATAATATATCAGTAGTTCACGAGGATGCTTTTTCTGGACTAAATTCGTTAAAAGTTTTGAAGGTAAATGATAATTTGATTAACATCACAATCATCCCAAAGGGTGTGTTCAGACATCTTAGTAATTTAATTGTTCTAGATATCAGTCGAAACAAAAAGCCATTGCATTTAAACATTTCGTTTATTTATCCCGATGTCACATTTTCTACACTGAACCGATTACAAAATCTGTCAATAGATTTATTCATGTTTCCTGTATTTCGATCAGGATTCACTGCACTTCAAGACCTTAACGTATTGAACTTTGATACTTGTTATTTGCATAATGGTAGTAGATTTAAGCTTTTAAACTCAACATTTGAAAACTTCTCGCCAAACCTGAAAGAACTTTACATCAGCGGTTGTCGCAATTTCTTTCTAATGGAAAATGGACTGTTGGAATATTTTCCTAACTTAAAATTTTTAGATCTGTCCAAATCGTATGTTCATTTGTATCAAGCGTTGCGCATTCTTCATCCATTTCAGAATAAGAACATGTCCGTTATAAATTTTCACCATATAAGTGATAACAAAATCAATGAAAACGATTTTCCGTACTCTGTTATCATTACAGAAGAATTAATGAAATATCTAAGAACTATTTGCATTGAAGCATTGGATTTATCCAAAGCTGGAATAGTGGATTACCAGCAAAATTCTTTGTTTTCGTTTAAACGTCCGGAATGTTTCAAAACATTCATAATATCAGCTAATAGATTACCTGCAACAACATTGGATCACTACATGCAAGTAGTTAAGTTTTTCAAAAGCGCAATCAACATTAAAGTGTACGATTTTTCTTACCTTAGTGTAGATTATATCCATCCAGTGTTTTTGAACGTATACCATCCGCGAGTTTTAAATTATTTTCCAGAAATAACTAAAACACATCAAATTCCTCTGCTTTTTACTTTTTCGATTCCATCTTCAATAGAATTTCTTAGGTTTACGCACATACAAATAGCTTTTACATCAGCGTCTTTCACATGTACCAACACATCGCTAAAATATCTCGATGTGTCATTTGGTGTTTACCAAAATTATCCTGATTTTACCGACGACTGTGGAAAGCAACTTGAATATTTGGACGTATCTGGAATTCCAGTAACAATCATAACATTTCCATTAATATTCATGCCAAAACTTTCAATACTGAAAATGACGAATGCACGCATAGACCAAGGTATACTAAAAGGTAAACAATGGATGAATTTCAGAGCTCCAGATTTGAGAAAAATAGACATATCTTTTAATAATCTTTGGACTTTGGAGGAAACAACATTTTTAGATCAGCCTAATATATCGCATTTGAATATGTCAAACAACCTTTTCAGGACCATTCCGACTTTGGTTACCAAGCTACAAAAGTTGGAATCTTTAGATCTTTCCAATAATTTGATCAGTTCTATTGATGAAATTATAAGGTGTAGTCTGGATAAAATGATGATTTCAAATCGCAGACTCATCCTAAATTTAAATAACAACGCTTTGGTCTGCTCGTGTGACACTCTGGACTTTCTTCTGTGGTTCGCAAAAACAAAAGTAACATTTAAGAACGGAGACACTTATAACTGTACAATGTCAAAAGGCAAGCAAGCCGTATTAAGGGAGGTAATACAAAATAATGAGAAGTACTTCTCGGACTGCAAAGCTACTATATGGCTGTACGTTGGAATAATATTGGTTGCTAGTGCCTTTGGTATTTTCATACCTCTTTCTCTTATTTATAACTATAGATGGAAAATAATTCTTTACATGTATAGAAAAGTCAGGCATGTAGTTGAGAAAAATTTACATGAAAACTATATGTACGACGCATATGTTTCTTATGAAGACAGAAGCGTAGCTTGGATACAAAAGTTTCTTCTTCCAAAAATTGAAGAAGAATGGGGACTTAAAGTCTGTTTACATGATCGAGATCTTCTTCCTGGGGATCTTACTGCAGATGCAAAAGCAGAATCAATTCAGCAAAGTAGACATGTTGTATTCATTATTACTGAACATTTTACTGAAGGAAAGTGGGGAAGGTTTGAAATAGAAAGAGCAAAATACGAAAAATATACTACAAACTTAAGAAAAATAATTGTTATTTTACAAAATATTCAAATCAAGGATATTCCAGACGAAATAATTAACATTTCAAATGATGTATGCTTTATTGAATTGCCGTTGGATGAAAACGAAGCTGGTGACAATACTGATTATCAAAGCCAATGGCTTAGACTTAAGGCTCTTCTTTATGTAAACTAGAAATTTCACAAATATAAGATATCTACATTAATATTCCTACTGCGCCTCAAAGTGAGGAACACAATGATAATATGTTTAAAAACATCTCTGTGTAATGATTTTGAGCATGAAATAAATTGTACATAATGAGCCATGTTATGGACCTCAAATAGGAAGTTGTGTGACTTTTTCATGGATGCTTGCATTTGGAATATCATGAAGAGCAAATAAAAGAAAATCAAGGTTAGTTGTCTTTTATAAATACCTTGTTATCACATAATGTTCCATACCAATTTCCTTTTTTAAATTTTAGTAACAGTCCAATGCTTTGCAAATGTTTGTATTGCACGATGAGTAGCGCCGTATATAGCCACATTCAAAATCGAAAGTTACAAAACGAGACCCGAAAAAAAATAAGGGCATTGACTTCAATGAAAGAACAATCCTTACCTCTCATATATAAAAATTTACTAAATGCCATAACAGAGTGTATATTTTGTTTTTGGAAGTTTTAATCAGACTTTTCATCAATATTGTGTCCAGTGATTGTATAGCAGAAGAAATATAAAATACTTACACATTGCATTTATATTTGATGACTTATAGCAATATTAGAGTCATTGCCTTAAAGTGTGTAAAAATGTTTTTTATTATTTCAGAAATATACAAAACGGAACAGATTTATTCAGGCATTCATACCGAAGAAGATCACACAAGAAAAATCCGGACGAATATGTTCAATATAATGGATCAATATCCGTAATGCGGGTCAAAATGAGGAACACAATTATAATATGTATACAATATAATCTCTGTGCAATGGTGTGTTGCTATTTTTATAGAATAGAAGTAAAAACTACGGAGTTATCAAATGAACTGAATGTTTTGAGAACTTAATTCCCTTAAAAATATTTTTTCTCCAAGAAGACATATTACAAAGTGTCCTTCCAGGTTTGTTAAATTATTGAAAATGTACTCCCACTTGGTATCTCGAAAATTTAACCACATAATATAAAAAGCTCTCAACTTCGAAAGGAGTTAGAATACTTATCCATGTTCACGTTATTGACAGATGAACTGACAAAAATAATACAATTACTGCCTTCATGAATTGTGCATATTGATCCATCTGATGTCAAAGGTGACAAAAAAATTCAAAAAACGGCCAACCAAGTAATTGTGGAGTTCAAATATCTTTCCATGAACAGACTCTATCTTTGCCACGAAGAAACCTTGGTTAAGTTGTTTTCTTGTTAACAATAATCAACTTTCTTTCAAACAACATTGATTGTAATTAAGAGCTCTGCAACATTGAAATACATGAGCGATGTAGGTGCTGTTCTCCTAGAATAATATTTTTCGGATAACTTGACAATGTTTAAGTTTGATAATTTTGTTAAAAAAAACAAGAAAATTGTTAAAATAACTCTATTTTGAGGTAAATACAATTTTTCCCGTAATATTTTACAATAATCATATCATGTTTAGTCAATTATATGTTGCTGCAATGTTCTGATTTATTTTCGTGCGCGTGTGTGTTTGTTTGTGTGACTTTTTTTGTCAATGGTTGTCAGTTTAATCGTGATATTATTTAAGTTGATATATAAGTTGCTTTAAAACATTATTTGATCGTGTGTTTATAAAAATGTAACGGAAATATGAATAAGAAAGTATACATTATGATATTATTAGATTATTTGAACGTTGTCTATGAAATATCGGTGTCAATGTGTGTTTTACAGACGAATCTAAATATTTTGAAGTATATGAACAAGAAACAAGATATACATAACACTTATCTTTGACTCTTTATAGTAGATACAGTTATATGTAATTGATGCAAGTGGGTTTTTAAACATAAATAAGATAGTCACAAACTGAAATAATCTGGACGTTTTTATTAATATGTATATACATGTGTACATACAGTTGTGCTATCACTTTGATACTAGGAAAGAACGAAATATATGTATTGTAAAAACAAATATACTTTTTCACAATGTTGCCATGGTTAGAAGTCGATGTATTATATTTCAATGTATGTGTTAAGATATGACGTAAATGACATAATACGATTAAGCTTTACTGTACTATTAACATGGCAAGACCTAACTTTCTAAAGCTAGCAGTTGGTTTTTATTTGTAAAAATGTCATATATTTCTGAAGAAATAACATTAACGGTTCCAATTTAAATGCACAAAATGTGTATTTTGATAATTTAATTATTTTCAGTGATGCTCGAGGCAAAAATATTATAAAACCCAAAAACATAATACAAACTTGTAGATTTGTAAATTTTAAAGTAATTACCCCTGAAGCTACTATTTCACCCTCGTTTACCTGCCTGTAACAAATGAAAGTCACCACTTTGAGTTGAAATATTATGTCTCTGAATAAACTGTCAACCATAAGAGTGAAAACAAACAGAACTCAAAACGAAGTAACCATGACACAGCTTTATTGATCTGTAGTCGCATAAATAATGACTGTACAGTTAGAATTTTCAACATAACAGTTACTACGTATATACGAGCATATCTATGTAAACTATGAAAGAACTTGTGTTACTTTTCTAACTATGACATCTATTGAAACTAATAGTTATAGCTGCTAGCTAGTAACAGCCATGAAATTTATCATACAGCCTTTTGAATACAACCCGAAATAAGAGTGACAGGTGGTATGCATATGATTCATGTCAGATTTTAAATACTTTCACTGAAGTTTCAGGGTGCTTTCGTTTACTTGGAATATTGTTTCATGCAGTATTATATTTTTTATTATTGTTTTTTTTCTTAATTTTACTTCTGTTTTTGGTTATCCTTTATACCGTTATTGTGGAGTTAAGTGCTTTTTTTTTTCTTTTCTTTTCTGATTTGTATTGTATGTTCTTTTACCAACTTATAGGTTAAACCCCGACGTATATGCCTGTCCCAAATCAGAAACCACGACTTTGATTGTCTTATGTCATATTTTAATGTTTGTCGTTATTTGAAGAATTTAGTGTTTTTACAGATCTTTGTTAGTTTTATGGGCGTCAACATGGTCAAGCAAACAACAATGAATTTATTAAAAACAAATTTTTAGACTCGGGACAATTACGAGCTTGACATATTGTATATATACCTGTCTATTGTTAAAGACTGTATGTTGACCTCTCAAGGTTGACCTCTTGATGTCTTGTGGTCATTTGTACTGTTGGGTTGTTGTTCATTATTTCCTTAATATACCGATATTGGTTTGAATGACCTAGCAATTAGAAATTTATCACTGACATATATATAAACTCTGGTAAAATATATTGAAGTATTGTTCTTTCATACGAATATATCCTAAACATCGATAACAAATAATGACAACGAGAGAAAACTCATCTCGCAACAAGCCAAACAATTCAATTGATTGGTCGATTGTATGTGTTTAATGCAACTTTCAGCGCTCTTGGCTATATCGTGGCGGAAAGTTTTTATTGGTGGAGGATGCCGGAAGTTCCCGGAGACAACCACCGGCATTCGGCAGGAAAATCTAGCTAATAAAAATAACGGTACGTGTAACATTTAACTGTAAGAGAAAATATGACATATAATTTAAACTAAGTAACATTGTATTATATCACACACACGATAACATGAAATGGAAGTGGGTATTACTTTAGGGAAAAGTAATGTGATTGGATGTAAGGGTAAAATATATATTTTTAAATTTATTTATGAATAACTGCAGTGTGTATATCTTTAATATAAATTTTGAAACACACGGAAATATTTTCTTGGAATTTTTCGAAAAGGCTTCCAAAATCTCATAAATTTTATGTAAAATGACGGTGGCCATGGATACTATAAACAAGCTCCGTTGGGAGATGGTCATGCTACCATTAGACTTCAGTTTTTAAAACAGAATAATAAAGTACTAATGTCAGACATAACTGTTTTGTCCAGGTTTATTATTAAAGGTGGTAGAAAATGTTAGTTTTGTCGCCTATGGAGGACAAATACTGCCGTTTTCCCTATAAAGCAAATATCCATTAATAATATCTGAAATAATTACACCAGTGACACATACTAAGGAAGACAACTCAACAGATATTGACAAAATCTTTAAAAACATTAAATTTGATCAGAATAATAAACATATTAATTGTCAGTGAAACAAAATAAATTGCATAACACAGGGCTATCTGAGGATACTCTTTTATGTTTGATTAGAATTAAGTATAATTTTATGGGACAATCTTTTTCTTCCTAATTTATGGATGTGAAAACCATTGTGGGAAGAAAATCCACTGAACAGTTCAAATTCTACAACATTATTCATTTCCTTTCTGTCAGATAGATTTTAAAGGCCAAACTCATAAATAAGGCCATTAGTTTTCTCGTTTTTTCTTGTCGGGACCTTTTATAGCTGTCTATACGGTATGGGTTTTTCTCATTGTTGAAGGCATTACAGTGGCCTGTAATTGATTACTTCAACCTCATTTGAACTCTGCTTGATAGTTGTCTCATATGCAATCATACCATATCTCCAAACATTATATTGGCTGCCATGCTAATGAAATTTTCCACTTGTTCTTTATGTTACTTGGGGCCTCGGTGGCCAAGTGGTCTTATCAGTTGAACTACTGTATCACTAGGCTTTAAACACTGAGGTTGTGAATCCCGCACGTGGCAGGTGCACTCGACTCCTATCTCAATTGACTAAGATTGTCAGTTTTCCTACAGAAGATTGGTGGTTCTCTCCGGGCACTCCGGCTTCCTCCACCAATAAAAACTGACCGCCACGAAATAGCACAATAGTGCTGAAAGTGGCGTTAAACACCAATCAATGAATCAGTCAATCCAAAAATTATATTGAAAGCTATTCTAATGAAATTATTCACCGATAAGAAATTAAGATATCTACATGGTAAGTAATAATACGTCAGGATGTATGGTTATTGTTGTGATATTCAGTATTCATTCAGTTGAAGACAAGCTAACAGTTTTTATTGTCAATACGTTTGCTTGACTTCAATGTAAAAAGATTTTTTTGATATTTATTATTAAATACTTTTTCCATACAATTTTGTAATTTTGTGTTTAGCTCAACACAATTTTTTAAAAGGTATAACGTTCCAAAAAAAATCCTTGGAAGAGAACATTTATTAGTCATATGTTTGATAAATCAAAATTTTATTGGGTATTTAAATTACTACACCATACATATGAAGATAAATTGACATATTTTATAAAAGTATTAAACGATTCTTCAGGTCATGCACTATCAACTTGAATGAAAAAATATCAATTTAAATTGAATAGATATGTACACTATTTGGGATATACAACTTTCGTTTCAGATCAAATGGTGCGAAACTTAATGGGGTTTTCATTCAGTAGGAAAAACCTTCAAATATTTTTTCGGAAGTATAGCTATATGTATTGTCCTCCGAAAATCAATTCCTATTGGAAAAGGATAAAAGAAAATTACACTCCAATAAAACGCTTCATAATGAATAAAATTTGATAATATGACTATTTCTGGGGTGTGTTTGTATGTGTGTTTTGGAGGGAAGGGGGGGGGGGGGGGGGGGCTGACGGAAAAAAGAGAGACGACAGCAAGGGTCCAATAAAAACAGACAACACTGTGGCTAAAAAGCTAAACGTCGAAAAGATAATAAAAAAAATGCAACAAAACATTACAACGCAAAATAATAGAGTCATAGAACCCAACCAAAAACCAGGAGTGGGGTGGTGAACTCAGATGTTCCGGAAGGCTTGGCAGTTTCTGCTCCACTAGTGACATCTGTCGAGTTATTCATGTCAAGGTATATAATTGATGAGTTATGTCCAGGGATAAGCAAACTTACAATAGCTTGAATGACCTCAAGACATAATTAAACACAAAAACTATCAGTACCTGTAATTTTTCTAACCTAAAAACTCGACTGTTTTTGGTTTGTTAAGTATGAATGAAAATAAAGACGCAAATAAATCATTAGATTTAATCAAAAATAAAACCAGAAGTGTCAAGTTTATGATTTTCCATTAAAATAAGATTATAAAGATGTTATAAGGTTTTCAAACGTACGGCAATGATATTCTTCTTTGCTTTTAAAACTGATTAATGGAAATGGTAGGCCCTAATATAAACCGGATATTTAAATATATTACACTATAATAAATTTCCAAAGTTTTAGGTGTACAAAAAAAACCAAATACACACTTATGTTTTGAGAACATGTATTGTTGGTCTCTTTACTCTGCAACTCTTTAAACCTTTGCGAACGAAAATTTTTTGCAATTTTCCGCAAACACGTATTAGACAAAATAGATAAAACTCAACTTCACAAACAAGGCTTCATATAATCAATGACTGTATAAAGAAAGGTATATACCTCTGGTAAACTGGTTTTCCAACTTTCAGTTATCATATTATTAACGTCACAAATATTAATAGGGTCAGTGTAATTAAGTTGCAGTATAAATATTTAAATCTACTTTTTATAAAATACTTATCCAGTCAACCTAATATATTTGACATGACAAAAACAAACCAAATTACAAAACATCTATGTATTTAAAATAAGGATATGTGGTATGATTGCCAGTAAGACAATTACGAAAAATGTACCCACCAGAGACCAAATTTCGTGGTTGTAAACAAATTGAGTTCAATGTACAGACTTCAACAATGAGCAACACCAATATCGTATAGTATAAAAGCCATGAAAGGGGGCCCGGCATGACAAAATAAACAACTATTCAAAGGAAAAAACACCAACGGCCTATGTGTTCTCTGAGTTGACAATTCTAATGCGTAAATATAAATTCATGTATTTTCCTCTTTTATCGGTTTCCCATCGTTTTATTATACTTTTCCAATAAGCATGATATAAACTCCATTTTGGCAAAGTATGAATAATTTTATCGTCTTTTAATTTAAGACCCACAATCTATCTTAATCGTGATCAAGCACGCGGAAACGAAAGGTTGTGAAGGAAAGAAAATGAATAGATATATTAAAATCGATATATGAAAAAAAAAAATTTAACCGGTGTCCCCCCTGGTTCTTGTGCAATCTTACGGTTTTTTTTAA